AATCTTTTGTTAGAGAAATATTTGAAGTTTCTAAAACTTTTCACAAATTTCCAAGATGTCGCATACGAAAGATTTTATGAGCTCTCAAAGTTGGAGGTGCGCCTTCTCAGAATTTTGGGTTTTCCGCTTCTGACAGAAATACTTTTGGGAGAGTTAGGTCATCCTTGCAATTTTCTGTAAAGCCACCTCAGGCACAGTTTAAACCTACCTCAATAAGTGAAACAAATACGTCTCAAGAAAGTTACACTCTCCTAAAACTTTTTCTTCGCCGCGTCCCAGTTTTCCAGCGTCCGGGTGATACCTGCCGCGCTCCAAGGTTGACGCCGCAACGCAAACGCTTTCTGCGGCGGTTTCTGACGCAATCATGTCAGTCCTACTCTTCTTTAATCCTTCCTCTTTTTTCAGCTGTTTGAGCAGAAGTTCGTCAGTCTTCATGTTACTTGTTGGATATCCCTCCATTTGGTCTTACACATTTCGCTTTCATCCTCATTTTGGCGTGATTGTGAGCGAACAAAAATTTTGATCTCGCGAGGCTAACCATAAAAAATAGCTTTCATTAGCCAGTGCCCTGTGATTCTTGCTCCTTTGGGGCTCATCTTAGGAGATGCATTGATGGAGAACGTAACTCTCTTTGATTTACTCCCTTGAACTGCTCTTGTGATTCTTTCGGAAGCATGAAGTTTGAAGTTTTGGGCAACATGAAAAAAATATTGAATTTTTTTCAGAAATTCAATGATTTTTTGAAAACAATTCAATTCAAATTTCAGTGAAGATCTCAATATTCAAATGTTCTGTTCATATTTCATGGAAGTTCATTGTCCATTTGAAAACAATGAACTTACGAACTTACGAACACAACATTTGAATATTGAATTCTTTACTGAACATTTGAATTGAATTTTTTTCAAAAAATCATTGAATTTTTGAAAAAAATTCAATGATTTTTTGAAAAGAATTCAATTCAAATGCCAGTGAAGAATTCAATATTCAAATGTTTTGTTCTATGTCATGGAAGTTCATTGTCTTTAAAAGGTTTTAGTTCACTGTCTTTGAAGTAAAATGAGTGAAATAAATATTTCACTTAACATTTAGTCAGCACATTCGGCACTTCCATTACCTAAGAGGGGGTCGCAACTGGACCCCCTTGAGATAAGGGGGTGACCCCCTTGAGAAAAGGGGGTCGCAAAAACCCTGAAAATGTTCGAACGTGACGGTTGACCCTGTTTGAAGCGGGTTTACATACGGAGCGGCTGAAATGGCAAATGTTTGATCGGCTGCGCGCCCTCTACTCGGCCCAGCCTAACTACCCACGCAATCTTATTTCAACTCCACAGTTTCATCCCATAATCCGACACTCGTGATTTTTGTTGAGCGACTAAAGGGGTAGACCACTCTCCTACAACTCAAGCCAGGTACGACCCCCTGTTGTTACTTCGTATAACGTAGGGATCAACCCTGGTCGTGAGTCGCCCGGGCCAACCAAGCCTTCCATCCCTCCGGGGTCGGTTAATTGGTACCAGACTTGTCTGGGAGGATAAAAACACTGACTTGTACATCGGCTGGCCCCCGCAAGTCATTGTATAGGCCACATCGCATTCAAACGCCACTACGAATGTACAAATGGAAGTAGAATGCGTGCCGCATCCCAAAAAGGGATTGATCAACGGCAAATGCTTTATCCTTTATCCTTTAATGAGTCGCATCATAGAAATAGCTCAGATGCGGAACTACCTGAGAGTGGAAAGGAAAGCAAGAGAAAACTTTGGGAGCAGTGAACTTAAGGCCTTAACCTTCAAAAAGGTCGAGCGTGGTGCGATGGCGAGACAGAGCGATCAAAGAATAAAATATGCTAAGGAGCTGGAGTGATCTAGGTAGGTAGGTGGTCGTTTGGGAGAGCAAGCTGATCTCATCAGCTCTCACGGTGGGTGGGAAGCGTTGCAAAAAGGGTCGATGGTTGGCCCGTAAAGAATAGCGCCCTAACCGCGCTATTTTTGCGACGAAGCTGGAGTGATCTAGGTAGGTACGGCCCTTTCAATTTCCTCGTGGTATCGTTCCCTCGAGTCGGGCTTATCCCGGGGTTTGCCATTAAATTCGTTTCTTAAAACCGCCTCTTTTTGATGCTCCCCTACGCTGCTCAAGTTTTCAGCCTAAACAGCTGGTTCAGGAACTACTGTGAATCTCACCCGTGTAAAGTTTTGCCACATCTCGGCTCATCCACCTCACACGCCCCCTCTTCCGCCAAGGCTTAGTCTGAAAGCTCTCACCTTCCCCCGTTGGGATTCCTATTTTTATTTATTTTTTATTTTTTGATTCCTACTTCTAAGAATCTCTAGTGTTGTATCCAGGGGTAACGGGAGTCCATTTTCAAACGGAAAGAATCAGGGTCGGGGCCTTTCGAAAAGCCACATTCATTCTTTCTTTGAGATTCGCGAATGTTCTAAAAAATTCGGGGATCATACTGAAAATTCCAGAACTTTCCTTTTGGTACTGCACTTTTTTACATTCAGGTGCATTTGTAGCGGATCAAACGACACACCTAGCGACAGTCCCCACGGAAAGTTTTCTGCCAGCAAAATTATTAGACGCTTGCAGTGGTGTGCTCTACACATTTCACTATTTTATTATCAACTATCAGAGCTGTCACTGAAACCTATCAGTTATAAGATTATTCAAAGATCTTGCCCCTTATGCTGTTTGTTCTGCATAAAGGTGCTACTGGCTGCCGGTTGTGAAGAGTAGTTCCGTGTACCGAGTTTTTTGTTCACCAGGAAATAAGTGGGCTCATATTCAGTAAAAATGAAGAACACTGCGGTACACATTCTATCCTGGTACCAGACTTGGCTCCAGGAGTCCGCTGTCAGCTTTATTCCTACCTTGTTTCTTTTTTATGTAATGTATGTGTTGCAATGGTGCCAGCAACCGATGTAAACATTCACGCTAGTAAGCTACTGGGACGACAGCCTAGAAATGGGGAGAAAGTTTCACACCGGACCAAGAACGATAAAATTGAGATTCACGAAACTCGTGACTTTTCCCCACCTTTTCTAGGCTTAGTCCTAAACTATTTACACAAGGAAGAAAGGTATCTGATTATTAAAGCACGTCTAAGTCTAAGTGCTCTAATGTCGCCATGCGCTCCTGGCAGCTCACCGTCAGCGTTCGCCATTTGCCCGAATTTTCGCAAGGCTCTCTCTTGAGGGCGACTCCCCACCAACTAACATCAAGTCTTTGAAGCTCCTCAATACGCTCCCCCTTCCCTCCTACGACCATACACGCTCGCATCATCGGCTGTTGGTTCTTTCGGTGCCCAATTTGCCTTATTCTCACTACTTTCACAAAAGTTTCACCAAATTCGTCAAAAACCCATCCAAACACAACCCCTTTAGCGACCAACCTCCCACTATGAGAACCTTGCTTAACCCAGAAATGCAACCTCCCTTCTTGAAATCCCAATATGCGTACTTCCCACAAAACTAGGGTCAACATCGCGTTTCTATCGAAATGCGCAACCGAGCGTTGATCTGCTCCATAGCAAAATGAAACCCAAAGACAATCTTTTCTCCGAAAGGACATGAAACGATGGTAGCTTCAACCGAATCTCCAAGCTCATACTGTGTGTACGTATCGGGGGCATGATTCTAATTCGTGCCCTCTATTTATAAAGTGACCCGTTTTTCTCCCATGTGAAGACAAATTCAGAAAGGTCCTTGAAAGGGAACATCTGTGTCGGGTATTTCATGCCATAAAAATCAGTCTGAAAAAGTGACGGAAGTGAACCCCTAGGTGGGCTCGAGAATCATTATGGCTGCTGAAGAAGGCTGTTTGTGAGACCAGAGTGACAAAAAAGTGCTACCCCCATGAGCCACTTAATAGGCGGGGTCAATCGTCACTTTGCACCTCATCTCAGAAGGCTCTACTGATATTTACGATACCCTTCCCCCTCTCTCACTAAAGCCCTCACCATCATGGCTGTTTCTATAGTTAGTGATTCTGAGACCAGTCCACATGCTAAACTTCTCCCCTTTTTCCTCCAATTCCTCAAAACGACTCAAGCAGTAGGGTCAGGGGGGGGGGGAATTATGTATACGGAGCGATCCACAAATTTGAACCTGATTTCTTACTATTTCTCCGAATTCGTCCTAAAGTAACATTCTTTAATGAACCCTCCGTCATCTACCCATTGCCACTAATGAAACCCTGCGACCAGGCAACCCTACGTAGTTACTAGTAACAACGGGGGGTCCGTACTGTACTTGGTTGAGTTTGTAGGAGGGGGGGTCGTACCCGTTTCAGTCGCTTGAAATCACATGCGAGTTTGAGGTGAAACTGAAGTTTTTATGGGTAGGTAGGTTGGGTGAGTTTGGGGCGCAGGAAAAAAATGTGTAAATATAGGTAAAAGCCGGTAGAAGTAGAGTAAAATGGCGGAGATATAGGAAATGTTTATTGTTTTCAGAGTAGCTATATACCCCCCCCCGCTCGGCGGCATTTTTGGAGGAAAAATTGGGCGGAAGGTGGAAAAGGGGCGCGTATCAAATCTACCTTGGGGGAGGGGGGTAGTAAAAAAATTTCAAAAAGTAACAACAATAGGGTTGACCCTGCCTGCGACTCCCTTCTCGAAATCACGAATGCGACCCCCTTCGTTTGAAAAGCGGGATCGGACGGTTGGCTCTGCTTACTGCACTTCCATGGCAGCGGAATGTTGGTAATAACATTAGTTTTTTTTTAATATTTCGTTGTTCTTGATTAACATAGCTGTTTAGGCATGCCGCGCATAAAACCGGAACAAGGCGCCGATGAAAGCCCGTGCGGGTAGCCGTTCCAAATAGGTCTGGATAACCGATTCACGCAATAAACTCGATGTGAGCTTAGCTACTATATATACGCTAGGCACACCGAAAATATCAGCATCCTCATCTCCATCCATTAGAAAAAGGTAACCTCAGCAGCAATCTCTTTTTTGTGGAGCATCTGCATCTGCCAATCATCTGCCTATTTTCAGAATGTTCAAGTACGCAATCTTTGCGTTTGCTGTCTTTGCAGCTTCAGAAGCCATTTTCTTCGGCACCGGTGGTGGTGGTGGCGGTGGCTGCGGCTGGTGAGTAAATTTCCCTACCGCTATTTGCTCTTCAGGATAAGCTCCTTTCTTCATAAGCTATTGACTTGGAAGGATTAATACACAAATTTTCAGTCCTGCTCCTGCAGCACCTGCATGTCCTCCTCCTTGCCCACCTCCATGCCCTCCTCCGTGTCCACCCCCATGCCCCGCTCCTGTTTCATCAGGATGCGGAGGCGGCGGCGGCGGTGGGTATCCTGTTCCTCCTCCTCCACCACCACCACCACCGCCATCATACCCTAGCGGTGGTGGAGGTTACGCTTCTGGAGGCGGCGGCGGCGGCGGTTACGCTTCTGGAGGTGGCGGCGGCGCTTATGCTGGCAAGTAAGAAGAAACGCTGGAAACAAAACGTAGATTGTTTGTACATTCGAGTGTCAACTATTTAAGTATTATATAAATAATGCTCAATTTGTCATATGTTGTACATTTGTGTTCAAAAAAAAACAAGACAAAGGTCGCCTGAAAAAGGCACCATACCCTCGATTAAGGTCGCCTGAAAAAGGCACCATACCCTCTTATTCCATCAGCCTTTAGGAGCTTTTGAGCTACAGCTTCAATATGTCAGTCCTTCTGAGAGACTTGAACTTCTTGACAGCACTTCAGGTCTAAGGAAGAAATGGATGTGAAACCGGGCACTTAGACTTCGGAACGGCACTTCCTAGTTTTCCAAATATCGTCGCATTTCACTGCTCCCCTTTTCGTCGAAATACGGAAAGGAATCCTTCCCGAAAAAAATCTTTTCTATCTTATCAATAAATCAATGGCTAATGGCTTCAGACCCATCGGGCCTGCTAAGAACAAAAAGAAAAAAAATTGCACTTGTTTTGGTAAACAATTCGAAAAACGGAAGGACTGCTACGCGTTCAAATTCCCGCCGGACATCTGTCACAAATGCTGGCGGGAACGCTTCCACTTGGTTCTCGGAGTGCCGTCACTAGAAACTCTTTTTGACCTTTTGACTTATTGCACTAACATCTCACACTTCTACTGCATCCTATTCTATCGATCGATTTGTCTCTACTCTCCAAAATCGAACGCTTTAACCCGATTCTTTCAATGCGTCGCCTGATACGTAGCCGCCCCAAGGCGCACTTCTTTCCATGCCCGCCTTTGGCTCCTGCGCGACCTACGTTGAACGGTTCATGAGTGGGTATTCGATGGTTCTTTCGTCTCTTCCTGGTACTGAATCTTCATGCTTGAAACTTTGTATGTTGGGTCTAATAGTCACAGCTGTTCATTTTGGAAACGAATGCAAGAATTTTCGAGAAAGGATTTCTTTGATTCTGGACAGCACACATTTGCAAGATAATAGATTACAAATCTGCGAGTCTCAATCCATCAACCAAATCTAGGCAATGATGAAAAAAGTGTTTGTAAAAATTCGAATTTTATTTTTGCTTGCCAACGTCAGGGATTGGGGAATCGGGAAGAGGTCAAAGATCTTCAGGAAAAACCATCAGTTTGAGCGCTCATGTGGAAAATTTATTAAAGGAATTGTGGTCACGATGATTCTCATGGAGACGCAAAGAAAACGTTACGTGCTGGATTGCGTGAAGCCCGTCCAAATGACAAACTAAAGTCCAAGGAGGTCTCATCACCACGTGATATGCGCCGGCCGAAATCCACTTGCCAGGGGCTATCCTCCAATAGTAAGAGACGACAAATTTCTTGAAAAATCTTCGCCGTCTTCCCAACAACGAGATGCCCTGCGATAATGACCTATATCTACATTTATTCTATGTAGGTAAACAGTAAACATACCGAAAATAAACTAAAAAAACTGTATCGCGTTTTAATAAAATAAATTTGAAGGAAACTTCGGATCACCCAGATTGCAAAATCAAAGCCGCATCAATGTGGAAAGGGTTGCAGTTACCGAGTATTCGGTATGATACCATTATCGTTACCGTCCCTTTTCTCAAAAAAGCCTACCGAACGTCGCCAGCTAATCTGCTACAAAATTTCTTGCGATCAATCTGACTCGTTCTTCCTAGGAACAGTAATCTCTAAATATGCCAAATCAAGATTCCTACCCAGCTATAAGTACACGCCCGTAATGGCCACATAATCGTGGGGACCAGTCTGCAAATATCCTGTGCAGAAACTCTTGTACGTTATGATGACTTCAGATTACTTTTAATACATGGTGCAAAACTAAGCCGAGTAGATGAAGGTAACAAATTTTTGAATAGCTTGACTTTAACGGAATCCTTTGACATTGCTTCCTTACTTGGCAATTACAGCTTCCTCTTTTCGACTTAGTTCATAAATTATGTACTCGTCATAACAGGTACGTGGTACCACGTACGTTCGTCATTATGTTTGCACACCAGTGTAGTAAGTTGGCGAGCTGAGTTTGATTCGGCAAAGTGGTGATATCGCATCTGAACATGTGAGATGCCTGTTTTGATTCCCGTGAATTGAGGCTTGTGACGAGATTAACCCCTACCTGCCACCTGTGGAAGCCGCTAGCATAGCCGCTTACCAACTGAACATCTTTCAGTGAGTAAGACCGTCACTGAGGAGATCTATTATTTCCCACATGGCTCGTTCAGTGAGGCATAGACTCTCGTCGATTCCTTTTATTGCCAGGCGTATTTCCTCGAATGCACTCTTGCAGTTCATTTCGTTCAGCGGGAAGAATTTTGTTGGGAATTCAGTAGAGGTCATACATTGTTCCTCTGGAGGAGGATATTGAGTAAGAATAGCACTCCAATTTGGGAAAGTGAAAACAGTTCTATTTATTTATTGTGCCTTGCAAAGTTATTTGATAGAACATTTATTTCTATGGTTTGACGTTTTCACAGAGTCGTCGTTCTCAGAGGCTGGCAACTTCACCGTATGTGCAGAAAAGTCCGCTGTTACAGTAGAGCGTTGGTCAGTTGTGAAACGGAAGTAGTACAGTATGTTTGTAGAGATTTGAGGACCATTGAGATTTTTTTCACAGCACCGCTTTTGCTCCATTCATTGGAGACAGTTCGGGCGTTCTGGGAGGTCAAAGTTAGCTGGCTGGCGACAATTCTCTCTAGTGTATATATATAAGTGACCTCGAACTTTGTTCAACGCCATCGTTGACACCACCTTGGCCAGGTGCTGGTACTAACTCCTTGGTCAAATGCAGGTAAGAAAAGCAAAGAAAAAGCCACGACTCGGGATCATTTGATGACGAATTCGTCCAGTACTGCCGCTGGAACTTCGAACAAAGCCGCGAAAGATGCAAACTAGCGCCTTCCTCAATTATGTTGTTACAACTCGATTATTTTATTTTTCTCCGTAAAAACTACACCACTGGGCTTAGCTTCTATAAAACTGCTCTCGGAAAAACCAGTGTCAACAGGGTAGGCTACAGGGAGGGGGCAACAGGGAAAAGTGGGTATCGAGATGGCTGGCATCCTCTACGGCTTGCTAGATACTTTCAGTTGGAGCTGACACGATTTCGCGTCTTTCGCGAATTTTTTCTCGATGATTTGAGGGAAATGATTGCAATCAATCTTGAGGCAGGGATAGCCGAGTGGTTAAGAGGTTAGACTCATGTCTGCACCTCTGAAAACCGCGAGTTCGATCCCTGCCGAGGTAACCAACCATGCCTTGCAAAAATTGCAAAAATGGTTCTAGTACCAGCGTCAGGCCCAGGTTGACAGGCCGGCTGATGAAGACCCCCGTAATCCTGTAGGGACAGTGAGGACAATTACGTGGTGAATTTGGCAGGGGCCCTACTCAATGAGGCGTGAGTGACGCCTCAGGGGCAGTGGCGATATATTAACTGCCCTTGAAGCGTAATGAAAAAGGAGACCTCTGCGCTTCTACGATGA